CTGAAAAAAGAAGAGTTGAACCTAACTAACTTCACATGCTAATAGGTGCTGGATGTACTAATAAGCTTCACTGTTGTTCTATAGACAAACTCGGGAGAAGGTCTTGAATCTAGAAAACTTCAGCAGAAGTAACAATAATTTATTTGGAGTATGTGTTTATTCTACTCTAATTTATGGCTAAACTTATTATTAAAATCAATTATGCAATTTTATCAGTGACTAAAATTTACATTTTGACTGATTTCATTTAGTGCATACTATTGGAGTAATAAACAGGGATTCCACCAGTAATTGTATTTATGTTTAGCATTCTAACATTTTTCACAATGAGAAGTTATTAGCATGCAAATCACCCATGTGAGCATCAGTGAAAGAGAGGAAACCCGCACTAGTAGGATCTCAAGAATGCATATATGTTCGTAGTTTGTGCATATTAAATATTGATTAATGCCAAAATACTCACTAGATCACTCATTTACTAATATAACTGATAGTAACAGCCCTTCACAGCAAAAATTATACCTGTAAAATTTCCAGCAGCAGCAATGCCAGATTAAACTTGTTAATTAACAGTAAAAGTATATTTTCTCAATAATGGTAAATATCTGTAAAATCACAGTGCTTTTTTTTAGACAATCAGCCTTTTTTTTTCTGCAAGTCAATTGTTTCACTAGTTCAAGTAGTTATTCTGTCATACAGTGTACTATAATACCATATTAGTAACAATAACAACCATTAAAATAAATGTAACTGTCTGACAAAAAACTGATCTTTGGTTTTTGTGAATTTGCATTCTATTTCTGTTAACAACAGCAGTGGAAAAACCGTACATGGTATATTTACATGCATTTAATCTTTGTTTTATTAACCATTTAATTTTACTGTACTTACACAGTTAACACACTTTTTGTTGTATTCTTCTCAACTTCAGTGTGGAAACTATTCTTTTGAGATAAAGCGGATTTGCATTTCTACTGTGGTTTTGATTCATTTTCATTGCAGTCTGATGTACTAAGAAGTCCTATTGCACTATTCCGAAATCTGTTGGGTCCTACACTCTCGAACATAAAGGTATGAAACTATCACTGGGGCAGTACCTCTCTTGTCACCGGGGTGGTACCATCAAGGACACATCTCAGTACCTTTAGTCAGGGAACATAATTGTACAATAATCTATTGAAATTATAGGTTGTATTGACTCCACACATCCCGTCTCGTCTCCAGGCTTTTTATTTTATTATTAGGTTAAGAAAAGATACAAATATATACTCCTCACTGGATAAAACTAAGGACACATTTGGACCTTAAAACCACTGTTGTACCTTTCAGGGTACATCTACATTGTACCTTGATGAAGGAAAAATGCACCTGCACAGTACCTTTATTTCTGACAGTGTAGATGCTTATTTATTCAAATAGTTTCATTGGTATTGCTTTATGTTGCTGCTGGAGCAACAACTTGGATCTCCAAAGTGTTAGCATTTCAGGAGAAAAAAAACAAAGAACAATGCTAACTTTTTAGTTAACAAGTGTAACAAGATTTGTCCAAATACATTTGGACCATTTCTATTCATTACAAAATATTTCTGTGATGTAAAGGGCACGTTGTGTATTTTAATTGAAAATTAAAAACGGAAAAAATTGATTTTGACAGCAATTGTCTTTACCATTGTTTCACTGAAGTAACAATACCTGTATGTGACTATGGGTCTATGGTGCCTTACCCACCTTTAGTGGCAAGTTCCTACCAAGCTCAAACATGACCTGCTCTGCCACGCCCCATTTTTGGAGTGTACTCTTTCCTTATAGATGCTAGCACACCCAGCTTTTCACCCGCACCTTGTTATCTCTCTCTCTCGAGTCGCTGTGCGCTTGTTGTTCTCGGCTGTTTTGTTTATGTTTCTCTGTCAGGAGCCCCTTTGTAAAACCCCATCGTCTGTCATGCCGACACACTCTTTCGTCCCCAGCACTTGCTTAATTTGCTACGACTGCCATCACGCTCACATCACTGGCTGCTCGTTTTCAACCTCTGGTAATTGGGCCCTTTTAAAGCAATACGCTGCAGGGGGTTCTGGGAAAACACTCCGAGGTACGCCACTAGCACTCCATTATGAGTTTGTTTGCGAGTGTTTGCGTGAGCACATGAGGGGAGGAGTGTTGAAATGTGAGGGGTAAAAGATGAGAGCTGATAGAACGTGTGTGAGTGTGTAGCAGATGTGAAATCTCTGCTCCTGGTGACATTACGGTTCAACGAGGTGACACAAGAGGACAGACGTATCTGTGTCACATTCCATGAGATAAATGTGTAAACGAGTGAATGTTTGCGCAGACGGCGGTGTGCAAAAGTCAGTCGGTTTATTTATTTAATTTCCAGTCATAAATGGCTATTAGATACAAGCTAATTATTTTCCAGGAGATCTATGAGGAGATTGGATACAGGGAGATTCACTCAAAAGAGGCCCCAAATATTCTGTAATAACTCTTGCTAGGACAAAGCAAACTGAACGAAACAACATGCAATGTGCTCCTCAGTATACAGAGCTTCAAAGAAGCCGGGATGCCCCTGCGTCGGAGCGTTTAGGTAGGCGCCGGACAGACATCGCAACGTTTAACCTCCCTTTGCACTTCCGGGTGCAAACCCCCGTACCCCTTCATGTGTCTGGCAGAAAAAGGCATCACATGTAATACAATCGATTACACATACGTCAAGGTATGTAGCGTATTTTTGGTTCAGATTGCTTCTTCCTAACTGTAGTTACGACAGAATATTCTGGGCCTCTTTCAAGTGAATCTCCCTGTATAAGACAATCTATTTGAATAATGAAGGGGGAGAAAGTGAAAGTAACCAAGAAGTTTCCATAATGAGTTGAAAAAACAGAAGATATTTTTTGTGGTTAAAATAACCTCCAAAACCATCCCCATCAGATAAGCAGCACTTAAAGATTTTATCCATAGGTGTTTCTGTCCATCCTTCCACTGTGAGAAGACAACTCAGCACTATGGCTCTGAAAGGATGTGTAGCTGTAATTTGCAAACAAAAGAAAGATGCTGCTGGTATTGGACTGACCACCCCAGAGTCCAGATCACAGCATCACTGAGTGTGTTTGATTACTTGAATTGTGATCAGCAGAAAATACATAACCAACATCTTAAGCTGACCTTTGGAAGTGTGGAAGAATTTCCCTGCAGATTTCTTTGATAAAACTGAAAGCGAGTCTCCTGAAAAGAACGGAAACTGCAATAAATGTCAACAGTGGACTCACTAAACACTAATGAATGTGATATTATATTCAGTTGTCAAGACTTCTGTGTGATTTTTTGTAAAACATGCTTTATTCACAAAAAATGAATAACCTGTACTTAATGGCCATTTTGACTGGAAATGTGCACATACATTTGCTGACCACTTTATTAGGCACACCTACTTTGTATTTACACTCATGTCCATTGATCGGGTCCACTTACATACTGTAGACTGTTTCTCTGCATACTTTGCTTTTACCTGTTCATTAAACCCTTACATGGCCAGGGCCTGTCGGTGAGCCCACTTCTATGATCTGAAAAGAGCTCAACCAGTTTACATTGAAGTCCCTGTAGTTACTGAATAATAAGCCTTAGTATGTAATAAGACTGGGACTTTAAGGGGTTAAAGCTTAGGACCCCTGCAGGACCACCACTGAGTAGGTATTATTTGATGTGTTCATTTGGTAGGCTATTCTCAGTCCAGCAGTGACCGTGAGTTGTTCCTTTCTTCTATACTGCACTATAGTTATTTGTGTATATTGCATTGTAGTGTACATACAATGGTATGTATATAACCTCCCATGTAGTATCTCATACCACATTATTCTCCATAGTATTACATGTATTACATTGCATCATGCAGTATTTTACTTGTTTTTCTTCTACATTGTACTCGTGTATCTCCTCAACCTATATACTGCAAGATATATGGACTGTTTTGATGCTATTGGTATTATTTATTGCTATTAGTTGTCTGTTGTACTGTCTCATATGCACAATAGCCTTCTCATATGTGCAAGACCCCCATCCCTTGTTGATCCCTCTTTGCACTTTATGTTATATGTAGGAGAAAGTTTCTGTAGTGTGAGAATGTCACTGCTGAACTGAGCACTGAATTGAGGGCAGATGCTGATATCGGATATTTTTATCTACATTTCTGTTGATGCTGAAACATAAACAGTCATAAAGTGTAGACATTAGGACAAGATACAGTTGAATTAGCAGTTTTAATAACATGGTGTTAATAATATGAATTACTTACTGTGGGTATAAATTCAGAAAAAAAAGAATAAAATGCAGATATTTTCATGCAGTAACCCAACATCACCTAAATGTTCTGTTATTCTAGAGTACAATAAATATATCAATTATCAGTTGAAATATTGGTGAAATGGAAATGTGTCTGATTTTTTAAGCAATAATCTGTCAAAATCCTTATGACTACAAAATTATTGTGCATCCCTAGAAATTACACTTTGTGTATACCTAAAACAGAGGATTATTATGATTGTAAATCTTGATTACTGCACAATTCTTGATTAGCAGAAATGCTAATTGGTGCTGTATAAACTCATTCAAATAAAATTAATTTCAGAAAAAATGAAGGCTCTCTTTATTTATCATAATATGGCTAGGACAAAAAACTCTCTTGATATATAATGTGAGCCTGTTGACACTGAGAGATATTTTGTCCATGGCCATGTTATAATAAAGGATTTTTAACTCCATGAAGAGTGGATTTTTACTTTTTTCTCAAGGTTTTGAACCCCTGTCCATAAAGCACCTTCAGTATTAAGTGCTTATTTCCCTACCAGCAGCATATATTTATATTCTTCTCAACAAAATTAATTTCAGTTTGGATGAACTGTTGTGTGGATTTCACTGAATGAAATACATTCTACACATTTCATTACAAAACCCTTTTTTTTGTCTTTTTCTTTTCCCTCTTTCTCTCTGCTCTATCCCTCCATGTGCAGGTCCCTCACCAGATGAGTGCTCTGACCTTCTACCGCTATGAGCAGCCTGTGGTGGATTACTGCCAGGCCCACCAGCCTCTGCGTCTCAACATGAGCTACGAGGGTCCGCCGCAGGGCCTGGAAGGGCTGGACGAGTTAGTGCCCCGCGAGAGGAGCACCATCCAGACCGTGGCGTTGCCCGCTGTACCGCCGTCTGGCTCGGGCACCCTTGGGCCCTGCTCCCCCCCGACCATCAGAGCTCCAGGAGAGGGGCCCAGCATGCCCTATCCCAGCACAGAACGCTCCATAAGCTACCCAACCACCGAGCGCACCACTAGCACCCTGACATTCGGACGCTAATGCTAGTGCGAATGCGCTAATGCACCAGGTGGAGAGGGAGATCTTGGGTCCCACTGTACTTAACCCCAAGAGGGGCTGAAACTGTGTGAACATTAGGAGGGTTCTTCTACTTCTAATATTCCTGAGGGACGCTAATGCTAACGCTAATGCGCCGAATCCATGGGGTACGAGGCTGTTCTTGGTTGAAGATCCATATCCTGCTGGACGAGTGGAACTGCGCAATTGTCAAGAGGTTTTCTTCTTCTTCTTCTTCTTCTTCTTCTTCTACTTCTTCTTCTGAGTGAACAGTTTTCTAGAGAGCAGGGAAAAGAGAGCAGAAAAAAAAATCACAGAGAGAACGAACGGATCCAGAAAATGGCTGAGAAATTCAGAAGCTTGATTTGTGAGCTTTGTGTACGGGGAGATGGGATTTCATTTCATTTGTGTTCTTCTATTCTTCTTTTTCTTTATCTATTTTCTTTTTTTTTTTCAATGCAAAGTCCCACTCAATGGAAAATTGAAAGCCGATGCAACATGCATGGCGCGTTAAACATCGCTTTGGTTCCCCGTTCTGCCTCCTCTTCTTTGCACCAGCCCAACAGGACGTCTCCTCTGAGGAGCTGATAATGGCGATTCGCTCACGCTGCGAGAAGAATGAAAAGGAATGTGCAATAAACAAGTTTTTTTTCTTTCTGTGAGGGGAGATGGAGAAAGAAGTGTGTGTGTGTGGGGGGCGGGGGGGGGGACAAAAAAGGGGGCAGCATGGGAGAGAAGGAATGAAACAAATTAATGTTTACCAGAGCTCAGAGACCTCTTGCTGTTATTCTCATTTAAGTTATCAGCCAGTGGTCATAAATAGCGCCATTATTTGATTAAAAAGATGTCTGTCCGGACATGAGCCTTTTCAAATGGAGAGATCGCTGAGGTGTCTCTGCTCTTACGACATTGGAAAAAAGTTTTAATTAAAAGCCTGGAAGGCCTGGTCTCCTGCGGGTGTGCACACGTACCAAAGATCAAGTGTTCTTTCAGATGTACAGCGCAAATGTCCTCTTTACTGCTACCAAAACCTCCGACCCACAAATTCAAGGCCCAACATGTTGACCCCAAATGAAAAACAAGGACACGCAGTGTCTCTGATGCAAAGCATCACTCTTATGAAGTATTTATGTGCTTATAGCACCCCCTTGTGTAGAATCTTCAGCCTACTAAACATGAGCGAGTGAGTGAGTTCCAAGTCAGGTTCATGAGGTGTATTGCATCTAGAAAAAAATGGCAAAATGTTAGTTCTCTAGAGTCTCTTCACAGAGACAGTTATAGTGTATGTGTATGTGTATGTATGTGTGTTTGAGGTAGGAGTCACATTCCTCTAAAACCTTCTGAGCCGTCTTCAAAGCCCCCCGCCCAATTATCTGCTGACACTCGCTGTAACAAGGCAGAAATCTTTAATGAGGGGAAGCCAAAAAGAGAGCTTCCGCAGGAAAGAGGTGAAAAAAATGGGCAATAGATACAGATTTTCCTTTAACAGAGCAGTCCTGCACCTCAGTCCGTTCAGCATTTACGCAGAAATGAACAAAAGAATGGAAAAAAAAAAATCTTTTTTGGACTTCACAATGGGTAAAGTTATTGCTGAAACTGTAGAGATAAGTATATGTTTGGCTTGTTCTCCCCATTGAGGCCTGTTTGCTTGGTTTTGATGATAGCTTGCATTTCCCAGTGATAGTAAGGATTTAGCTTTGGACATTTTAAGACTTTTTAGATTTTGATGCTAAGTTATGAGAGCCTCCTGAGCTGGACTGGGTATCGATCAATACTTTTATGGTACCGATCAAAGTATGTCAATACTACAAAGTACCAAACAACATAAGCTTAACCTTCTGCTCTTTAGCCCTCAGACTGTACAAGTGGCCTCTTGGTTGGCTTAATGGTTAAATAGTTGTACCTTAAATGCCCTCTGCCATTGTTCAAGATCACCTCATGAAGTAGCTTTCAGACCTGTCTCAAACCTGTCCTGAGGGGCCTCCAGCCGGTCCTGATTTCTGCTCCAACCCAATTCGCAACACATTTGAGCAAAATTGTGGTCCATTTGGAAGTCCTTGAGGAATGGCTTGAGAACAACTGACCTACTGCATCAGCTGGGATTCCATGAGCTTTGCTGCTCTTGAATGCCTCCTCTGGTGCAGCACCAGCTGCCTGTGGAGATTTAATTGCAGTAACTCTGACCTGTCACGGATGCATGCATCACAACAGCATGGGAAATCCTGCTGATAAAGCGCTGATAATGCTTCTTTAAAATGTGTCAGTTTAATAATGTGGTCATTTTGACCAACCAGAAATAATGTCAGCAGTAAGGGGCACCAATAACTTGTAAAACCAGGTGTTTTGTTAGTGTAAAAACACAGATTTATACAAAGCTCTGTGGAGTACTTAGATCTACTTAACAAACATTAGAGTCATGAAAAACACTGCTGCCTTGAAAACAGGAGGTTGCTGGTTCAATGCCCGACTCTGGCAAAAACTCATTCAGTACATGACTGTGTTTTTTAAGGTTGCCTTTGGACGAGAAGCCGAACATGATATTTGCTCTCATATAAAACACGTTTAAACCATCTCTCTGGATAAAAATGCATCAATTTATATTCAGGCTGGCCAGCTTTTTGAGCCCTCTCTCCCAACCCCCACCTCATCATGTTAGTTAATGGGCTTGGTGAGTTTTATCAACATCAGTCAACCAATATGCATGCTTGTTGTAAAATCTAGACCGCAGATTGGCTGCCAAAATTGCACTCCTGAATCTCGAATTATACACTCACTGATAAACTACCAGTGACCCATTTAAGCAGGGTCCCTAATTCTATACAATCTCTCTTCATATATGTGCATTCTATAATATGTGGTATTTAAAGTGTTTAAAATGGTGTTTAGCACTTTACTAAAGTTTTAATGAAAGACAAAGAAGGGTATACATAACTTCAGACTCTTAATTAGTCCAAAATCTGTTGTGGTCAGTAAATATACCCAGTAAGTATAGGTACTAAAAAAAGGTTTGAACGATACCCAGCCCTCCTCCTGTGTTCTACCATAGAGAAAGCAGTACATGTTTGCCACTAGAAGCCATGTTCCAGTCTACAGGAAGCCAGTTTTCCATGCCTGACCTGCAGTGTGGACCTGCATCTGTTTCTGTGTTCCATTTTTACAACTTGTACATGGACCTCCTGGAATAAGGAAAGAATATCAGAATTATTGCCTGTAAACACGGATATCTTTTTTTGTTTCTTTCTGTCACCCTGCGTGCCTGTGTGTTCGGACTCAACACAATGAATGTGGATTCTTGTACCTCACTAACAGCTAGTGTGGATTTTCCGGATTTTTTTCGTTCTTTTTTATATTATTATTATTATTATTCAAACACTCCCAAATCCTAGGATTTGTGGGAATGTTTGTAACAGAGGGCAGATTTCACTCTTAAACTGGAAAGAGGAACTAAAAAGAGGAAGCTGGGAAAAAGACATCACTCTGAAGGCGATCAAAGACTCACAATGTTTGCAGACGCTAATTAATGAACACAGATTCAACAGGACATGTTTATCTTGTAAATAGAGAGAAAAAAGTATCATGTCGTTTGCTTCTTCTGATACACACACAGACACACACACATGCAGGCTCTCGGATGTCTATTGTGTCAGGAGGGGAGCTTTCGGTGTTGCTCTGCAGAGAGACATCTTCAGTAATATATCTACATTTTAAAGATCGATATTTTTCTATATCTGCTCCCTCCTCACCTCTACATCTCATTGTGCCCATTGCTTTTCATCACCCATCAAGACGTTTGGAGTTTGACCGTGTAAAGTTTTAACGGAATAGCTTATCGTTTTAACGTTGTTTCCACGTTTGTGTCCATGCCTCGGTTTCATTTTACAACGGTATTTTCCTGCGACTGTTCCAAACAGGAGGAACATCATTGTTTTGCAGAGTATTCACCCCCACCACCACCTCCACTTGCTTTGTTTTTACAGTTTTAAGAAGTCCTGGCAATATACAAAAAAAAAAAAAAAGATTATCTATTTGTACAATAAGAGTGGCTTGTGTTGTGTTCTAAAGCTTCATGTATGATATATGAGCTGTTGGTTTGATATTATTGTTAATGGCTGTGAATTACCCACAATGCTCCAGTATCGCACAATGTCATACGACCCTTCTGTGATGTTCAAGCCCCAATTCCAAATGCTGCCCAGCAAGTCTAGCATCAATGTTTAAAAAGGCTGTATTGTGTCATGGCTGTGGACAACAGGTTAAAAAGGCATAACAACAAGTTTCAAGGTGAGCTTTAACAACAAGTAGGATTTTTTGTGGTTCTGTAATTTTCAGAGCAGCGCATCCTTCACATCAAGTCCAATGCATTTTTTAAAATGCTTGACAAGAAGCAAAAGAAAATGGAAAAAAAATGGATTCCCTCCATCAGTTTTATTTGAACACCTGTAACTTTAAAGGCGCTCACACTGGGTAACACAGCAGTCTACAACAAAATGGGTTCCACCACCAATGGAATTTGAGAATCTTAGCACATTTGCTTGAATTGCAAGCATCACAACAGAGCTCTAAATGATCATCCTGGTTAAAAACATTAGTCTGGCTGTTTTGGACTTGATGTGAAAAACAGCATTAATATGCACCACTTCATTTTCTGGACATGTTGTTTTATCTGTAAATATTCCGACTGTGTGAATTGGCCTTAAGGGAGAGTCTCACCAACAAATTTACTGACTGTAATAATCATAATATTGGTTCAGTTACATGACTTAGCCAGGGCTTAAGGCCATTTCACTCAGAATATGATGAATAAACATGAAAAAGCAAAATATTTTAATTATCTTCCATCATCTTGGTTGTCTCTGTGCCAAAGGCCAGACATTGACTAGTTAAGAGACAGTTCATGTCTGTGAAAGTTTGCAAGAAAAAAATTATCACCTTTGCAAGAAATCAGAGCCATATGTGAACATTTGGAAGCATCCTACTTGTTCCTC